GTAGTTGTTGCTCCATGCCATCACACTGGTCGTTTTTCATTTTTGATCACGAAATTCATTAAGGTTGTAGTTTCGGGACTGAGACTGAATGCATGAAATGTTTATCTGTTGCAATACCTCTTAGCCTCTACGGCCCCTCTCGAGCCACCATCAACGGTGGGTTGAGTTATTCTTTCAGCCTGCCGGGGAAGAAATTACCAAGAGCCAGCCAGCGATAAGCGATTGCAAATTACTTTATTATGCAGACACACTGCACTGTAGGTATATGTGCGTGTACGTGCATGCCATGTTTATACTGGAAAAAGATAGTTATAGCACAGAATAGGGCCAGTAGAATCATTCTGGCTAATATTTGTCGGATGATTGGATTTTGCGCAAACGCAGAGCAACTCAGGTTCTAGCACAGAGAGCACCAATAAAACCTGAGCTGTCGACGCACTCGATTCAGCCAGAAGCAGCGACATACACAGCGATACAGGGTTCGGACTGTGTGTTCAGCGCTGTTACCTGTGCACTGCTCATCGTTCAAGTGATTGATGCATCTCGCTGACAACGCCTAGAATGTCTGTGTAGGATCTCAGGACTGTCCGTTAGAGAAGAGTCATCGACTAGGCGGACAGCCCTTCTCTGAACAGCATTGAGCATGGATAATCTAGACCGGGAGGCTGCAACTCAAACATGTGGATCTGTATTTGATTAATTTGAGCGAAAAGAGGTTTTCAAAATGTAACTCTCTTAAGCTCCTAGATTATCAAAATATGGGATGGAGAGTTTTTGAGAAAATATTTATATTCAACATTGAAACAATTCTGGCCAAACGACGATACAATTATACAGTATATGTTTCGCATAGTCTTGTTGATGTTAACTAAATTATTATTTATCTCTAACAAGCGATTTCTGACTATCGGAGATTGTATACTGTCATACATATTGATGATATTTATGATGTTGCACTGCCAAGAGTTGCCTTGATCTGGTCTGCTATATATGACCGAGACTATCAGAAATTCATTGTTGGAAAGAAACTTTTTAGTGGCAATAAACGTCTCCAAACCATGGTTGTTATGTTTGCAAATCCTGATGTTTGGGTCTTGAAGGAGATCATCAACAAACATCCCTTTATAACCTCGGATTTCAAGCAATTCACGCTTTACCACCACTGTCGTTTCGAGGCATACAGGCGGAACAACAGAATGCCTAAGCGATCCTTTTGAAGTGTCATCTTTTTTGTACCTTTCATCCCATTGTTAGTTCAATCTGACTTCAGTCATCGGTTATTCTATAATTCTATTCTTGTCTTTCCTCTTAAACGAGTAACGGACCCTTCCATAGACGTAACATACAGCTTTTATAAGTCCCAAGACACAAGAAAAAAATGTGTGCTTAACTGCCTTAACTATTTTTTTCTTTGATATCCACGCTCTTAAATCTACCACGTCTTAAATCGTAAAAAAGTACTCAAGAGCGTCATGGAGAGCCGCAAGTTTAGTATTCCTTAAACTAAACTATAGAATTAGCGCTAATGTAATGATACTGGGGCTCGACAGAAAAAGAAACAGTGCTATAATTAATATGAGACAGAATATTTGCATCATTTTTAAGAAAAGTATCCTGTTCCAAAGCAGATCTATTCCAGGTGAATTACGGTTTGGGGTGGATTTATTTTGGAGTAGCTCAAGCCTGATTTGGAGGACATCCTGTATAACACGAATATCGATATGCGCCAGTTCGGTGAGGAGCGGTAATAAAAATAAATTTTGGATTTTTGGTACTACTTTAATGGACTATTTTATAGTTGTGTGTGAAACCTATATAATAATCCCACCCACCCTAGATAAATAAAATAGCTGAAAAATTAAGCAAAAGATTGATAATTTTTTCTGGCACTCGTAATTGCTATACCTTCTGTTGTTTTATACGGAAGCAGCCGCATAGGCAGAGCTGGAATTAATTCCAGAGCACCACGGCTAGTATGAGGAGGTTAAAGAAACTATGTTAATATGATTAGGTTAGAAGAACTGGGAAAATCCTCCTCAAGAAGATTGTTCCACGATCTCGATACCCTAGGAGCGGTCGCAATAGTAACCACATGGACCTCACCATGAACGAATGCAATTGTACTCTTGCGTATCTTATTGCATAGGGTCTTAAATATATTAAAAAGATGCGCGTTTTAGCTTTGATGTTTCAAATAAATATTTCTTGGAATGTGAATCCTGTAAACTAGATCCAAGCGACGTCCCTGGGCGCTTGAAATGCCCAGAATAGGAACGAAGGGCAGGTAGGTTTTAGAAAGTTCCGTAGCAGCGTCGGCACCGACCTTGTAGCTATTTCCGAGAAGCCAGAAGGTCCATCATTAAAACCGGTAAATGGATCTTCTGACACGTATTGTTGTGAAGATCATTAGCGCAAATTAAAACGTCACTCGTACGTTTGGAAACGAATAAATCCACGTGGATTTATTGTAAAGGGCCTCTATGGTTTGTCTGAAAGTGACTTGTAAAGTTGAGGAGTTTATGCGAAATGGACAAGACATTTTTCGTTATTGCTTGTGTTCCTTCTATTGGTTTCTTTCAAAACAGCTGTTACGTTTTGGAAAATATTCTTGCTTACTAGAACTACTAGCAGTGGTTAGAGACAACGAAGATACTGTCTTACGTGTAAGACAAAATTCTATACTAAATTTCCATGTTTTTCTGGTCACCAAATGAAACTACTAGGCTGGATGACCATTTACTAGCTCGGTTGCCGAAACGTTACAATCTTCCTAACCGTGTCGAACTTCGTATATCCAAAAAAGCCCATACGACCACTCCTTTGTCGCTAGCGAATCCAGATAATGGAACAATTTACTATAGGAGGTTTTTCCTAATTTTTCCAACTTTAGGCAGTTTCTTTAAGCTCCTCATAGCAGCCGCGATGCCCTGGTATTTAGCTTTCTGGCTAAGCGGCTGCTTCGGTATTAGAAGGTATGTTACAGAAAATACTAATATAAATATTCTTTATAACCTTTATAACGCAAAGGTGAACAACCTAAAGTATGAAAGGGTTTTGTTTTTAGTAAATTTAAGTCATTTGAATGTTAGATTCATTCATTTTATGCTTCTTAATCCTTGACGGAAAATGTATGAACATAAAATGCACTCGAAGGTTTAGCTTTTTAGTGTGACTGTCAGGAATTCAAGTTCTATAAACTTACAGGTTTTCCTTCCATATGTTGGTAACAGTCTTGCTCATAGTTGCTTACCTGGAACAAAAACATATTTATTAAAATGAGGCTGAATTTAACAATCTCATTATTGCTAGTTTTAATATAGCCGATTTGAACTGCCGCCAAGATCCAGACGATAATCAATCAACATCCAAGGTTAAGTCCATGTCAACTAAAAAAATAAAAACCTCTCTCTATGGTAATATTATCATATTAACGATATTATGATTATGCAGAAAAAGTATTATTATTCTTGAAAACGGAAACTGTGCGTCGGATTGAAAATTATCAAGCTATCAAATCAGTAGCAGGTAATATTCCGTACGAGCTCTGAGGAGCAAAGCCCGTTGGTGTAGCGATAGAAAAGAGCCAGATCGCCGACAGCCCGCCGGTGCGAAAGAGCCCCGAGTCTGTCTGTTAGAGAAGAGCCATCGATCAGTCGGACCGCTCTCCTCTGGACAGCATCGAGCATAAATAATGTAGTCGGGCGGTAGCATCCTAAATGTGTGAGCAATACTCGAGGCTAAGCCTTATCTGGGCCTTCTATAGAGTGAGAAGGTCATGCGGAGAAAAGTACTTATAGCCCTAAACAAATAGCGTAGCTTTTTCCCAGCAGCTGCAGCATTGAACTGTACAAGATTGTTGCGTCTCCAAGCAGTGATAGCCTCCAGGTCTCTTGTCAGAGAGGAAGTCGGCTTGTCACTCTGAATTCCTGCATGTAGAGTGCTGTCATCAGCGAAGCTGTGGATTGGGTTGATCGCGCAGGAAAGAAGGTCGTTGATATGCAAGAGAAACAGTGTCGGAGCCAAGACCGATCACTGGGGAACACCTGCGTTGAAGTTGTGGGATGAAGAAGAGAACCCGTCAATTACGACGGATATCTTGCGGCCAGAGGTAAAGTCAGCCACCCATCTACAAAGCTTTTCTGGGAGGCCGTAGGATGGAAGTTTGCTTAAGAGGGCAGCGTGCCACAGCTGATCGAACCCTTTTGTGATGTCAAGAGCAACGACATGGGCCTCACCATAAGACTTAATGAGTTTACTCCACAAAATATTCTATTTGACTAATTTTGCAAAATCATTTTAAATTATTGTTTTATATATAATGAGCACACTACATGAATATTTCCTGAAAATCTATACAATTTTTAAACGTTATTCCTGTGATGGCGCCGGCAGATGACGTCTGTGACGTCACATGCCAGTAAACACGATCACGAGCTGTCAGCCGAAGTTAATTTCATTATTGTGCTTGATTTTGCTATAAAATCATAGATAAAATGGTCTATAAATGGTGTGTAGTGCCAAAATGTACGAATACGTGTATAAATAGTCCACAAACATTGTTTGTTTCTGTTCCAACCGATTGTAAAAGACGAAAAAAGTGGTTACTATTAGCTCGGAGAGACCCAAAGGGCATTTCATCGACTTCAAATGTGTGAAGATCACTTCGATGTAAGTATAAATTGAATATGTTATCTACTAGGTAGCTTAAATTATCGCTTTTTTTAAGATTGGAATAATATATAACTATCTATAACCTCAAATGTATCTTTGGTTATGTTGAGGATAAGTCAGTGTTGAGGATCAAAGATCCTGTTTATTAACCCTAAACTTATTACTCTGTAGGGTTTCAAAATGTTTTCTGTTGTTTTGATTATATTAGCTACCTACATATCTCAATAATTTTCTATGCTGTGTCATTTTACCTACTTTGCTTATTAGATAGTGATAGTTATGTTGAATTGCAGATGGAATAAGACACCATTAACTACATGCAGTACAAAATGGGTTTCAGCAAGAAGATACTTTTGACAGAAGATGCTGTGCCAACAAAATTTCATTGTCAAGAAGATCGTAAAAGACCACTGTGTGATGCTGGACTTTCTCGAGGAGCATATGTCAAGAGGAAAAGAATGGATTTGGTCAACACATGTTTGCAAAGTCAAAATCCTACTGAAGCCCAAGCTGAAAGCTTACAAAAAGATGAGAGTTTGATACAAGACATTATTGAACCTCAAGGTATGTAATCTATTACATGTGTCCTATCATAAATTATAGTCTAAGAGCTCATAGACATTTTTGTAACCTATTTGAGGCCTTATAAAAACTTGTCTACTACTTCTTCCATTATTTCTGAATAAAAAGGGCAGAACTGAATAAGGTGAAAACTGTTGTCCCTAGGGGTATTGAGGGTATTTTTAAAAAAAATCATAAAGACATATTTGTAGCACATTGAGATTTTCACAGAATAATATTTATGGTTTAAAATTGATATATTCAAAGTGATAGGTCATTTTAGTGGAACATTTTACTTGCTAGGTGATCAAGAATGCTCAACTTGTACTTCAGGTAATGGGTAATTTTCTCTCAAGCTGTTGATGCTTGCACAAAATTTAGGTCCATTTTGAAGTCCACAACGAATAATGATGCCAATAGTTGAAAGATTGATCAAGAAAGTAATAAAAATCTGTTTACGAAATAGAATTATGATAGAATATCTCACAGAAAGCCAGCAAAAACGTACAACGCGATGTTTGTTTACTTGCATGTGACGTCACCAGACTCGCAGCCAATCGCAGGGCGTTTCTGTGACCCATCGAATTTTTAAAAATAGCTGATTTTTATTTGATTATTTCCCAAAAAATATACATATTTAGGTGTACATTAAAGTACTATGTGTTTTCTTATTCTATTATCTAATAGGATCACCACAATTCGCAACTTATTTTCAATACTGTCAAATAGCCTATTGCGTGACGTAAGCTAGGAGGTCCCCTGTGGATCGTTGATGCCGGAAACCATACTGCCTGTCGCTGATCCTTTTTTTGGGATGGATTGGACATGAGCAAATTTCCAGTTTTGTAGGAAGGTACCGGATTCAAAAGATATCTGGAAGAGACGCGAAAGAACTGGAACAGGCTCCGCTGCACACCTCTTCAGTACAGTGGCAGGAATCAAGTCCGGACCAGAAGCTTTGTTGATGTCGAGCGACAAGAGCACTAGTCTTACGGTCTTATGTCTGAATGTTACCTCCCGCATAGTGTAGAGAACTCTTTGAATTGACGGTACTTGGGCGTTGGGGGGGACGTCCATGGTGGAGTTGGCAGCAAAGATCTTGGCTGGCACTTCCGCATTGGCATTTGAGTCGAATACAATAGTTCCATCCTGACACGTAAGTGGTGTGAGAAGTTCTTTTCAATCTGCTTGGCCAGCGTCCAGAAAGACCGACTGCCATTGCGCTGCGACATTCCCTGTGCCTAACTTTTATATCGTGCTGGTTTTGGGCATTGCGAACCGCTTCGTTATATTTGTTTCTGGACTCGACGTCGGCTTTTCTGTTCTCTACAGTGGGGTTTTGTAAGAACGTTCTGTGTGCCTTGATCTTCTGCTGGCGAGCAGTGTCACACGATTTGTTAAACCAGCCGTTGGACCCCTGGTTTAGACACTTTCACTGTGTGAGGGATGTATTCCTCCATTCGGACGTGGATAATCTCGGTTATCGAAGAACAGACAGCCGACGCATCCGCATCAGTGAGACATCTCTCCAAGGAAAGCTAGAGAAGAAGTCTCTGAGCCCCTCCCAGTCGGCGTGTCCGTAATGCCAATTTTTGCGGCCAGTACGAGTTTCTGCTGCCACAGCGGGTTCTGACCGAAACCTAACCTCCACAAACCGTGGTCTGAGTTACCCAGGGGGGACAGGACAGCAGTGCTGTGAGGGACAGGATGCGTGGTCAGAAAGAGGCTACTGGCATGTGACGAGACGCGGGAAAAAAAGTATGGCTCGTCACCAGCTGGGTCAGCCCTTGAGTAAGAGTGAACGCTTCGACTGCACGACCTGCTGCAGCGGTCTTGTTTGAGCCCAACCAAAGCTCATTATGGACATTGGAATCACCGAGAAGAACTACCTTTGAAGCGGGGTGATTGATGTTCAGGAAGTCGATCTGGACAGCGAGGTATTCGAGTAGGTTATCCCAGTTATGGTCCGACGGAGAGCGATGAAGTCAGCAGATAAATTTGGGTGATGTTTTGGTGTTGAGGCGAAGCCACAGAATGTCCTTTAGGGCTGATTCCAAAGAAACATCTCTGGAGCAGGAAAGACTAATGCGGACAAAAGCCACAACTCCCCCGTTCTTTCTCGGATTGGAGTGCACCTCGTAGTTTGGGAAGTTAAGATGGTTAATCGGTGCACACTCTGAGATTTTTGTCTCCGCCAAGAAAAGCACGGCGGGACGATTGGATTGCAGGTAGTGATGAACACCATCAATCAAAATTTTATCTTCGATGTTGTTCTCTCGAGCCCACCCTCCACCCTGATATTCCGAGAGCGGAGTGAGTTTACGTCCGGAGTTCTTAGTGCTCGAGGGATCCATTATCATTAATTTATTTGTTTTGGAAGATAACCAACTGCACAGCGTAGGTGAGGAAACATGCGGACACTTATAAGACACCCTGGGAAAAGCTAGCGGGTGGTACCGCCTCGGTCGACTGGTCCTTGTCTACCACCTTATGTTTACGTGTTAGTGATATTAAATAGACCTAAAGTGGCCCGTTGGCGGACTTGTACCACCACCCGGCAATCGGTACTAGGGTGTACAATCACTTGAACGGGAAGAAGTTGTAAACTGGACACAACAACTTCCGGAGCAAGCATTTGCCACGACCCCGCTCAGGAGGGATACGAATAAGGAAACAGCTTGTATATTCGAGATGGGAGCCACATGAGTTAAGCGGGATGAACTTGAATGACAAATTCATGACTTGCACATCTCTGCTTGCAAGGAGCAAAATCGAACCTGTCTTGGATCGGCCAATAACAGGAGATGAAGAGTATGAAGGTGTCGTGACCGGGAAAACCTACTTCTTATACCTCCAAACCAAATTTCAGCCTCATCAACAAAATGGACAACTATACATTACGGGCTGTTGGAACATAATGAAATGCATTTGGGAAGGTATTCTCAGCAATTGGGTAATTTTGAAACAGAGCTCAAAGAAAAAGGGGCGGCGTAGAAAGAAAAATTATACTACTGCATTATAATGGTAGACAAAGTACTGCTTTGGAAAACCATCAAAAATTATAGAGCATGACCAGGAAATCCTGTGCGATTCTCCATAATCTCCAGATCTGACACCTTCTGACTACGACATATTTTTGTGGTTACCAAATTTTCTGTAGGGCAAAAATTAGATAAGAAATTATTAAAAATTGAATATACAAAAAGCCATCATGTTGGCGAGATGATGGACCTTATATCAAGGTTTATCCCAAGGTACGAAAAATATCTTTCATGATTCTTATGGGCAAAGTGCATTGGAGCTTTAAGCCCAGTCCTTTAATTTGTCAGTCCGGTTAAACATTCGACGGTCGAAAAAGTGGCTAAATAACACTTTCGGATGTCACAAATAATTTCCAAATCGTGTTACATATAATTTCATCACCTGTGAATTTTTCAATGTTTATTACCAAATAAATCCCAGCCAGAAAAACAGCAATCATTTATTTGCTTCGCGTTCGCGGTTGTGTGACACCAACATAAAAATATTTACAAAATATTGGTAAACATCATAAAAATCCCAAGGAGTCCTTTCACACGAAGCTGAAAAGAGAGAAACGGCGATTTTATTTAAAATGTGAGGCGGCTGCAGCCGTTTTTGGCCATTAGTGCCGAGAAACTAGTTTCGAGGAGTCAGATTTAATTAGGATATCTCGAAAAAAACAAAGATTTCAATTACTGAGGTGGCGACCATGCAGAAACAGATCTTTATGTTTACAGAGTGAACAACTTTTGCTGGCAGTGGCGTAATTATGACATCGTAATCAGTGCCCTCCTCTTAATTCCACAATGTCAATGGGGGTGTTCCCAGGGATCGGTCATGGATCTTACATTGTTTCCCTGACTTATCAACGACTTTCTTTCCTGTACAATCAATCCGATCGACAGATTTGCTGATGACAGCACTCTACATGCAGGAATTCCGAGTGCCAAGCCGGTTTCTGTAGGTAAGTTAGAGAGAAGAAGACTATCAGCAACTTCCTCTCTGACAAGAGATTCGAAAGTTACCACTGCTTGGGGACGCAAAAATCTGGTACAGTTTAATGTTTCCAAAATACAGTATACTGTACCATATGTTAACTAACGAGAAGCGCGCTGGCGCTCATCCGGTTTGGATGCATGGTGGAGTTCTACCAAAGAGTCGTTTATTTCGACTTGTCGGAGTCTAGGTCACCGAGAACTTGACCTGGCATGAACTCATCACGTCAATCCCGATAGTTACTGGTAAAAAACTACGCTACTAGTTTGGAGATTTTCTCCGCATAACTTCCCTTATTCTGTACAAGGCCCAGATAACACGTAGGCTCGAGTACTGCTCTCATGTTTTCGGTGCTGCTGCCACTACTACATTATACATGCTTGGTGCTGTTGAAAGGAGCATTGTCCGTCTGATGGAAGAGCCTTCTATAACCGACAGTCTCGAAACGCTTTTACACCGATGGGTCATCATCCACCTGTCCCTCTTTTACCGCTATGGCAGCGAGCTTTGCTCCTCAGAGCTCTCCTCCATGGTGGCGCCGCGCGACGACCCTGCCAGAAAGACACGCTTAACTTCAACCTGTCATGCTATTCGTGTCGAACTTCCTACATACAGAACTGGTCAGTACGACCGCTCCTTTGTCCCTAACGTATCGAGATTATGGTATAATCTGCCTGAGGAGGCTTTTTCCAGTTATACTAACCTTACGCAGTCGAAAAATCGGTTTAACAAATTCTTTCAGCTTTTTATAGCAGCTTCGGTGCCCCGGCATTTGAGTTTCCGCCTACGAGGCTACTGCGGTATAAAAAAAGCTTGTTTATTAGATTTGGATAGACACATATTTCATATTTTGCTTTTTCAACGACTTGTTAGAAGTTAATGTTCACTGCTAATATGATGTAGTAACCCAGTAAGAACCTTGGTTTAGGCCGTAGCCCTGAATGGCCAGACTGTGCAAGAGAAAGAAAGAATTGATGGTGTATAAGCTTACCTAATGGCCTGACTGGGCCGCTCAAGAATAAAATACAGCGATGAACTTTAAACTGGTGAAACATGTAAAGTAAGCTGTGGAAGATGCGAATTGCATACATGTGCAGCAGACGCTCTATACTGGGCATTCGTGCTTATTTGTGCTCGGAGGAACACCAGTGGCGTGCAGCAAGAGGCTTCAGTTTGAATTAATTGACAAGACAACTTTTTCGATTTTTGGTCCCCTCAGATACCTATCTAAATTACTATAAGTGATATATATATATGAGCAGTAGTCATTGCCAAAGTCAACGACTAGTTGGGTACAAAATACAATTACTTGTTAATTGGGAAATTGACAAAACTTTTAGGCTTAAGTTGACTTTTTTGACGATAAAATCAAGCTTTCGGCATTCTCTATGGAGCCTTCATCAGGATTCTGAAAACACAATTGTGATGCTAGCAAAGAAAACAGGACAGATTTAAATTGTCAGACAACTTACTCGTCGGTGAGGTTGCAGCCACAAGGTGTTTCAAAAAGAACGTAGAGAAGATCGAACTTGTGATCAGTATAAAAACAAAAGGACGGGGACATTGGGCTTGTTGAAAAACGACAGATACCTTCGTTAAAAGTTAAGAAAAAATAAAAATTATATCAATACCCGAACAAGTTAAAAATATTATATATATATTATATATATATATTCTTTGCTAGCATCAAAATTGTGTTTTTCAGAATCCCGATGAAGGCTCCATAGAGAATGCCGAAAGCTTGATTTTATCGTCAAAAGAGTCAACTTAAGCCTAAGAGATTTGCCAATTTCCCAATTAACAATTAATTGTATTTTGTACCCAACTGGTCGTTGGCTTTGGCAATGACTACTGCTCATATATATATATATATATATATATAAAGAGAAAATTATCATGCGGAGAAAGGTATATAACAAAAATAGGAAAATAATGGACAAAATCCGCAAAAAGTGGATTCGAGCAGAAAATAGGATAGGTAACCCGAGCGATACGTATTTCTGCTGGTTGGCTTCATCAGGCCCGAAATGAATGCACATATGCAGCTACAAAAGTAGAGACACATGTCCATACATCCGGATACGGGTGTAACCTGAGAAAACAAAGTTGGAGAGGAAAAAAAGACACACGAAGTCCACAACAAGAGCCAACCTACACATTGTAGTATAAAATGGCTAGAAGACCTCGAATTTTCAAGGCGACAAATAACCACAACCACGCGGCCGGTTATAGCCACTTGCTGTGGTACTTCAGGTTACACCCGTATCCGGATGTATGGGCATGTGTCTCTACTTTTGTAGTTGCATATGTGCATTCATTTCGGGCCAACCAGCAGAAATACGTATCGCTCGGGTTACCTATCCTATTTTCTGCTCGAATCCACTTTTTGCGGATTTTGTCCATTATTTTCCTATTTTTGTTACATATATATATATATAGTTGCTGGTGACATACCAACACTAACGCGGGAGCCTCGGTAGCTCGATGGTTAGCGTGTGGAGCTAGCAACCCAGGGTTCCCGGTTCGTAACTCGGCTTGTGCAGTGTTGGTACTACATGGTCGGCCACATGGCGCCCTTGAGCCGAAATGTAGGAATCAAGCCTCTCCCGAAATGAGCCCATTCCTTCGGCCAGCATCCGTGCAGGAATTTGGGTTACTTCTCTTCTTATTTCCTCATTCAAATCGAGGATGGTCCGAGGCTTGCTTTGGTTACCTTTTGATTTCACGTAGCCCCATAAAAAAGCACACGTTGACAGGTCCGGGGAGCGAGGGGGCCATGGAATATCGCCGGAGAGACTTGATTCCTGCATTTCGGTTCAAGGGCGCCATATGGCCGACATAGTTTTTAGAACGTAAATTTTGTTTTACTCAAAACATGACATCTATTTCTTCCCATACTTATTTTGACTGTACTACTCATTTAAAAAACATGCGTTCTTTCTATGTTTTTCTGCTACGCTGAATCCGAATCCGGTATTAGAGAAGTTTCTAGACGTCTAGAGTTTACCCTCTATCCCAAAAGCTACCCCCAGAAGGCGTGAATTCAAGAGAGGTAGGTTTTTTATACCTTAAATTTCGTTTAAGCGTTGAAGAATACACAAAAATATCGTGATTGAGCATCTGATATCCGACAATCAATTTTCCATCCCTTCTTAGTGGTAGAGAAACTCAATTTTTGCTCTTCCTAGGGGTCGTTTTGGACCCGGGAATAAATTCTGTGGATGAGGGGATCTTTTCAAACACAAATTCGGTTTCAGCTTCGAAAAATACATGGGAAACCAATGCTGCGGCATCTGCGGATTCAGCGTCAATAATATATGGGAATATCATAGTTTGTCTCACTCATGTCAACCTTTATTTTCTTTTGTGAGGCTTTGTCATTTAGCTAATATCTTGCATTATAAGCTTGTAAAAAACCTCTGATTTAATTAAACCTCTTTTTTCGGACACAAGCTACCTCTGCTAAAGCGACAATTTGAGAAAAAGTGTTTGCAGAAATCACAAAATAAGTACACACCGTGTCGCCTATGTTTTTGAAGAGGTTGGTAAAGAAGCTTCTGCATGCAGATCACAGTCAGATATACACATAGTAACCAACTGGTAGAAGAAGTAAAAAGAGATAGAGTGCCAATT